GCATTATATAAGAAATGGTTACAAGTTAATCCTACAGCATCATGGAGAGATGTCATTAATGCTTTGGAACGATGTAACGAGGATGAACTAGCCACAACTATTGAAGAAAAAGTGACAGATCCCACAGCTGGAAGAAGTACTGATGATGATGATATGGAAGTCAGTACAAGTAATGCTAATCCTGGTCCTATAAAAGGTAAACATACACTTAATACAACACTCATTAACTGATACACTACTCCAGGTAACACTCCTAGTGCTATATTAAAGATGAATTATGTGACCCTTGTTGATGCAATTGCTAGTGGTCTTCACAGAGTTACAAATGGGCTACATGCAAAAGGACTAATACCAATGGATATCGTTAATCAGGTCCAAACAGCAACAGGAATATCACATTTACTTAAATCAAGTCAATTAGTGTCTGTGATACAACGACAGTTGGAATCCTCTCTTAATCCAGAGCAGTATCTTATTGATATATGTCATGTATTAATAAACCAACAACACCGTACACTAACAGATATTGCTACCTCTATATTACACCAGTTAGGTGAGTGTGTGTGTACATTATCAGTGATCAATATAGTCATTATATCTCAATACATTATAGGTCAGTCTATACCTGATGATGTCAGTTCACATACTGTACTACCATCACCAGTTGATGATACATCCAATACACCAATTACTGAAATAAGAGGTAATAATAATTATTGTGTATACATTGTTTTATGTATCTTAATCATTAGGTCGGTCTGATGTACAAAAACCCATTAGTTCAATACCTAATGATGTTCAAGGATATGCTAACAATATGAGACAACACTACAAACACCAACCTATTGTTGCTTCAGACTGGCCACCAAGAATTGGAAAACATTATTTTGGAAGATTATCCATAGTAGAAAAACAAGACTCCAGCACACAAGCAAAATCAGCTTGGCATATGCTAAGGGGACAAGTTGATAAAACAGTTAAACTAACTGAAAACAAAGAGATAAGTGTTGAAGATGTCCTCCAACCCACAGATAGTTCTCTGTCTCTCAGAGTAGTAATAGATGGTCCTCCTGGTATTGGCAAGACAACACTCTGTCGTAAACTGTTAAATATGTGGTCTAATGGAACACTTTTACACCAACAGTATGACTTGGTACTTTACTGTCCTTTAAAGAATAGCAAGATAGCTACAGCTACTACACTAGCTGACCTGTTTGTGCATCAACTTAATAGATTTAAAAATGTACCTGAATGGTTTGAAGAGAGGGATGGAGAAGGATTACTGATAATCTTTGATGGTTGGGATGAACTAAGTGAACGGCTCAGACAGTCTTCATTAGCTGCTAGTATCATTCATAGAAAGCAATTAGATCGATGTTCAGTAATTATTACCTCCCGTAGCTATGCCTCCTCTTCACTTTTGAAAATGGATACTCTCAGTAGACATGTTCAGGTCATTGGGTTTTCTGAGGAAGAAATATCAACAGTAATTATACAAACACTTCAAAAAGATATAAAACTAGCACAAGAACTCATTGATAAGAAAAGAGAAGATGATAGAAATGACGAACCTTTCACAACTACTCAAAGCAGTAAGGACTCACAACTAGCAGTGAAACTCATTAATGATCTTAAAGTACGAAATGATGTCCAATCATTGTGTTATGTACCACTAGTCTGTTCCATGGTCATTTTAGCTTATCGTAAGGAAGGAGGACACTTACCAACAACACTCACTCAACTCTATGAGAACTTTATCCTACAAACTATCAGAAGACATGTTGAAATAAAACCAAGACATGACATTGACCCATATACTTTAGGTAATCTTTCTTCATTACCATCACAATTAGCTAAACCTTTAGAAGAGATGTGTCAATTAGCTTATACTTACCTGGCTAGTACAACAATGACATTCTCTTCACATCAAGTAAAGTCGCTGAGTGAGGCAATCAAGGAAGACTATCTTGGATTGATGACAACATTCCTAGAATATGACGAGAAAAAGTATCAGTTCCTTCACTTGAGTATACAGGAATTTCTAGCTGCATGGTGGATAGCTAAGCATGAGAAGAAGACAGAGGAAGTGTTTAAGGATCACTTTGATGATGATCACTTTCGAATGTGTCTGAGGTTTTTAGCAGGTCTAACTCACCTTGAACATGAGAGCATTCAACAGTATTTTAATAAACAACTTGACTTACAGTGTAAGAGGAAAGCATTACCTGGATTTGAGACTCGTTGTCTCTCCTACTTCTATCAGAATCCTGAGATTAAACAAGATGATCATATCAGTTCTGATGATTTTGACAATGTTCCCATTCTTCTTCTTCAACTCCTGTATGAATCACAGAACACAACATTATGTCGAGTATTAGCACAATCTATCAACAACCACTCACTGTGTCTGGATGGAGTAGATCTATCATTATCATTCTTCGACTGGTTGTGTCTCAGTTATTGTATAAACACCTTCCAACACAATATGGAATTACTTGCACCTGGGGCAAGTACCTCACCAGTCACTGTCAGTCTTCACTGCTGGACTAACCAACAATTCACTACAGACCCAGTGTAAGAGACTGGAGATAAGGATGGTTGAAACCAATGAAAAATTAATAAACAAATTATTACAATCATCACTTCTATACAATATTCAGGAGTGCTACTGTACATTAAACATTACCCAATACATTCTCTGTCTCACATTGCTACAGTTTTTCAATCTTCCTCGATTGAAGATATTGCAAATAATGGTAGAATCACCTATAGATATGCTAAGTAACAATACATACACAAAAAAGCACGCTGAACTTGAGAAATGTATAGAAATGAATTCTAAACTACAAGAAATGAACATTCAGCATCTTGGAATGTGGAAAGAAATAACAAGTACCATTATCAGCATCATTAGAGGAGTAACAAGAAATAAAACAATAACATCATTAACACTAGATTTTCCTTTTAGTGATGTTTTTCCTCCCCCTCCCCTACCTGATGGAGTAATAGAGCAGTTACTAAAGGACAACAACACATTGCAAGCTCTTTCACTGAATATAGATGATTTACTCCTACCATCATCACTGAATATAGTAGAGGTGAACACACCACTGACTGCTCTAGAAATAGGAGGATGGTGGAGTAGTGAACTGATGACATCATCACTCCTTCCACAAATGAAAGGATTACACTGTTTGATACTACATGAACCATACCCACCACATCCTCTATTCCTTTCTCATCCCAGTCTACATACACTTACTTTACCACTAGACACAGCTGAGAGTGCTATTGAACTATTTACTATTCTACAAACCAATGCTACACTTAAAGCTCTGAGTGTCAAGATAAAGGAGGAGAGAGTATATACCAGCAGTATGGGTACTAGTCTACAAGACATGCTAACACAAAACCAAACACTAAAATACCTTGAGATTAGTGATGAAATTTCTAATTCAGTCCTGTCCTTCCTAACAACTGGTCTCAGACACAACACCAGTCTACAGCAGTTGAGTATACCCATTCCACTTCCACTGAATGAAGAGATGAGAACTTTTATTAATGTCATCTCTCAAAAGAACAGTCTCATAGAAATTGAAATGAATTTTACACCAGATCAGTCATACAGTAGCTGTAGTGAGGAAGAGAAGAAACAAATAATGACACCATTGTTTTATGAGCAGGTACTACCTGCTGTTACTAACATGTTACAGTCACATACAACCATCAGACAACTGAGGATAGAGTGTGAATATATTGATATAGAGTCATCTCAACCTAACTGGATAATAGTACAACATTTATATGAAACTATCTTCATCCATCCATCATTTGAATATATTCAGATTTATACTGGACTCATAAATATTTCTCGTCTCCTGGAGGATGCTCTTAAAGGTCAAAAGAAGACATTGTTTCACAGAAAAGAACAACCACACCATAGATACTGTATCTATGACCACACAAACCAACACCAATAGTAAATATTAATAACTAGCACTACTAATTTCTATAGTTACATCTATAAGCAAATACATTATAGTTGCAATTTTTTATAAATGTTAATAATACTATTTTTGCATACGACCAATTTAATGTTTCTGTTTGGCTTGATTACTGATTGACTGGGTGCTATTTTACCAGGTCCCGTTGCAACACAAATATTCTGAACCAGATTTAAGCCTGCATGAGCCATTAGTTAATCCTTTTCTCATTCCTCGAAAAAAATTGTCTAGTAAACCCAAAATTCATAATGGAACAGAGCACTCAGGCAGAGAAACTAATAGCTACATGGTCAATCTTACATTCTGGGCTATGTAATATTATACCATCCACTTTTTCCTTTTCTATATACCCTCACATGCAAAATTATATTTACTAACGTATGCCTTTGATGTTCATA